AAAATTTGAATTTCATAGAAATGGTAGGTAGGCAACTACGACTGCACAACGACTAGACAGTTCGAAGAAGGCAGAGCGACCGCGTGGGAGAGTACGAAAGTTCGGTCGGGAGGGAAGAAATAGGCAAAGAAGATGCCTTCGATGTGCAAAACGAGAGTTTGACACAATCCCCAGCTCGAGGTGGATGCAAGGAGATGGATATTCACTTTTTGGGGTGCCAACTAGGGGTTTTAGCTAGAGTTACTCTCATACTATAGGATCGAGGTAAAATTTGGCACGACATTTTTGTAAAAGTCAAAATTCTCTCATTTTTTATTAAAAAAATATTTACCATAAAATCGGAAATTTTGAATTAGGCAAAATACTATAACATGTATCTTTACGTAATTGCAACATATCATGTTTATTAAAAAAAATCAGATTCCATATAATCAGACCCAATTTCAAATTGAAAATTTAAATTTAAATTTACTTATCACCTACTACTTTCTTTAGTTTGAATTTTTTTAAAACATGTAACAGAGTCAGATAATATTAATTTGAAATTCAAAATGAAATGAAAAAATTGGGTTTTGTTTAATCCTCTAGAATACAAACTTGAAATAGTACACATTTTCTCTCTTCCTTAAATTAAGTAATTTACAATTTTAAAATAATAAAGCTATAGATTATCAAGAAAGACATTTTACAATATCCGTTATATTTGGCGGCTATGCATTTTTCATAAAACAAGTGTTGACATCAAAATCGGCTCACGTGTGAGGCGAACGACACGTGGATCGCGAGGGAGGGCTGGAATCACGTCCCAACCGAAGAGGGGAAAACGAGTTAATTGAGTTGGTGGAACCGACTTGTCCTCCACCGGGACTTCGGAAAATGCCATCTCGGGAAAACCCGACCACAAAAGAGCCTATACAGGTCGTCTGCGCCAGCATTAAATGCCAGTCAAGTCGACCGACGTATCGCACGTGGGGACATCATTACGCGTAGGGGGCCCACTGATAGAAAAGCTGCGTTAGTGTCATTCCGCATTAAATGCCGCCGAATCCCCTCAAAAGACGAGCCCGCAAGTTACTATAAATAGCAGCAATAAAGGCAATACGAGGATCTTTTTCGGACACATTAAATTCCGCATTTATCACCTCGGTTTTAGTCCATTCTTCAACATCACTGTACTACTAAAAACCGACCTCAAGTCCGAATAACCGACTTGAGTCAGTTACAAAATACTCCACAATTAATCAATAAAATCGCGTCATTTCCACGTGAATCCAAGAGTTTAACATTAAAGAAGGTTGATCAAATCCGTTTATCAACAGTTTGGCGCTAGAGGAAGGGCCTCATAAGATATCTTGAGGTTAATCTTTGAATCCAGCATCCACCTTTGAAACCGCTGACTCGAAAGCATACAACAATGGCGCAGTCAGGACAAGACGATCAAACAACAAGGGGAGGGGACAGCCACGGTCCAATCCCTTCAACTGGTAGGGCCAACACGACAATGATACCAGACCTCGCTACACTGATGCAGAACCCTGAGTTCGCAAAAGGCTTCTCGACACTACTGGCCCAAACGATGCCAGGGGCCTCGAGAACCGTACCGGGTCAGTCACTGGCGCCCATAACCCCGGCCAGACCGGCGGCACCACCGCTGCAACAAGGCATGAATAACCAGACGCGCTCACACGCAACGTCCCAACCAAGGGACAACGCCACCCAACGACCTCCTGCCCAAACGATGAACCCCCAAGAACAGAACCTGCAGGAGATGACGGCAGAGAGCGAGTCCGGGCATGCTCGGAGGGAAACCACCATCGCTAGACCCTTGTTCAGGACGGCGAGAAACCCGGCCGACCTCCGACACAAAATGGTGAGGGGCCGAACGGCTAGACACGATAACCCCGAGATGGAAGCCTTGAGGAGGAGGGTCGCCGAACTCGAAACCCTACAAAACCAAAGGGCGAGGTCCCCCCCCAATCAGCGCAGTCAAGAAACAGGCCACGTGTACGTGGAGACAGACTCTCCGCTATCCCCCGAGCTGACTTTGGAGCCACTATAGGGGAAAATAAAAGTCCCGCAAATCGGCCTGTACGACGGAACGTCAGACCCGGACGCACACCTCGGGCATTACACCTCATGGATGGACCTGCACGGGGCCACCGACGCCCTCAGGTGCCGTATGTTCTCCCTGACTCTGGGACCAAAGGCACAGAAGTGGTACTACTCGTTGCCTGCGCAATCTATCCGACGCTGGTTCAACTCAGGTCGGCGTTCCGCTCCCATTTCATCGGGGCGCAGGTTTGCCTGATCCCGAAGGAGTCGATCACGAACATCGTCCAGAAGGACGACGAGAGATTGAAGGAATATGTTGCCCGTTTCAACAAGCGTGTGCAAAACATGGAACCATGCCATCCTGAAACACTCTTAGTGAGCGCCATTTCAGGACTGAAGCCAAATTCAATGTTCAGGTGGGCACTCTGCCAAAACAAGCCCAATACATTCCAGGAATTCTTGGTCCGGGCACAGAACCACGTGATCGCCGAAGAAAGTATGTCAGTCCCGGACTTTACGTTCACATCCCCGGGACAAAAACCGACGTCGGAGAAGAAGAAGAAATCCTTTAGCAACACACACAAGAAGACCTCCTCCACGGACCCGCGGTGGGGGGATCCGAACGACCCCGAGGTGCGGGCAGCTCGGAAACAGTACCGAGAAGACTTGAAAGAAGGATACCGATCTATCTACTCGGTCGGAGCAGCCGCCATCTACGAGGAAATAAAGGGAAAGGGAATCATTCCCGATGCCCGACCAGTCAAAACCCCAGAGAGCCAACTCGACAAGGGCCGTTACTGCGACTACCACGGGTCGCCGGGTCACAATACAAACGAGTGCTTGAGCCTGTTGTCGGCTCTGATGAAGCTCATCGGTAATCCACAAGTGAGGAAATTCACCAAGGCTGGAGATAATAAGGGGAAACGGAGAACGCAAGAAATCCCCGATGATGAC